TGTGTGTGTGTGTGTGTGTGTGTGTGTGTGTGTGTGTGTGTGTGTGTAGCTCAGTAAACATAAGGTGGTCTGGTCTTTAAGAGAGAGAGAGCCTGGGAAGAGGTGATGTAATGTGTTCTCAGACAATGATGTCATCGACTCAGATGCGGTGAGGATTTAAAGTGACAAAGGCATTTTCAGCAGCTCCATGTAATTCTGCATCAGGTCTCCTTGGAGAGCTGCAACCATATAGCACTCAGGGGGGGACCCTCATGGGTGTGTGCGGGGGGGGGGGGGGGGGGATGAAACATGAATTATACACTTTAAAAGCAGTCTGTGCCATGATGTATAACACACAGTTTATTTATTATTCAGGACATCAGAGATGCAAAACATGTTTTTTTTTTTTTTTTTATGTACAGAGATAACAACAGGGTTACGTTGCCAACAAAAGAAAAAACAGCCATTTGTCATTTTTATATGTTATGTGAATAAATTAAAAGGAATGGAAGTGTTAGTATTTAACCTAAATGTTTTTTTTTGTTTGTTTTATTTTTAACATCAACTCCAAGAAGAACTTTATTTGAATAGTTTTGTTTTGTGAAAAAATAGGACTTCACATTGGTTTGCACTATTGTTTTGTTTTTTTAAAAAATGTACTAAATATTATTCTTGCACTCATATATTTCAATTTCAAATTTAGACCCAATCTCCATAAAAACAATAAAGTGAGAGTTCAGACATTTTGAAGTGGAACTCAGTGGAAAGGTTATGAGTAATGTATATCTTGTTGCATGCACAATAACTCTAATCAACCATTTTATTAGAGCTGAACATCCCCCTATTAAACTGCTTTAGTTCTTGTATAAATAAAATGTTTGAAACATTTCTTGAGGATTTGAGTCTGTACTGACATGAAAGAATCACCCAGTTGGTGCAGCTATCTGAACATGCATGATGTCAATGTCTTGTTCCATCACATCCTTAAGGTGCTTAATTGGATTGACACCTGGCAGCTGTAGCGTGAATTGAACCTGATCAGATCAAGCAATGTTTTTCCACTCACTTGTTCAATTGTGGCGATCCTGTGTTAATTTTAGCATTCAGTTTGTGATCTTAGCTGACAGGAGTGTGTTCTGCTGCTGTAGCCCTTCTGCTTTAAGGTTGAGCTGTAAAATAAGAAGAGCAATATTTGCCTAACAATCACTATCCCTTTTCCATCTATATTTTACTGCTATTGTCTTTATAATGACAAACTATCTATCTATCTCTGGATATTTTTCAGCCTAAAATGTTTTACTTCCTCAAACATTTATACATTTAATAAAAAATGGTGACAGAAACAATGTGGCACAGAGCTCCGGTTGACAGCCAGCAGCTGCAGGTGTCAAGGTCATATTAGAAAATAATAGAGGTGCAATTTTTGATGAGTGTCATTCACAGTTTGTGTTGTCTTTTAGTTTTACTGTAGTGCAGTGTGGGACACTTTCAGCTGGAGTAGCATACAACTTCTATCCATTCATCTATCACTCTATCTCCAGCATCATAGGGTGGAAAGCGATACTGACAGCAGTCTAAAGGATTATAAAAGTGTTCTCCCAATTCACTTACCGTTAATTACTGAATATAAGTCACAGTTTTTTGCATAGATTTGTCAGTCCTGCTACTTATACGCCAAAGTGAATTGTATACTTTTTCATATTCATAATCCAATTTTTGACCGACACTTTAAATTTCTAAGAATTGCAACAGCGAGTCCTCCTGTGCACGCTCACTTCACTCAGCTGGTGCAGGCGGAAGAACGCTGGATAGCCAGCGGCTCTGGCCGCGATGGATAGATAGATGGATGAATAGATGGTGCCGCGCCGCCCATGCGAAATGAAGCTGTTCTGACCATTAAAGTGCATTTATTAAGGAAAAGTTATACTGAGACACACCTTTGCTGTAATGTTGAGCAAATAAATAATTGTTTTTAAGTGTTTTTAGTTAAATTTCTAAAAACGAGTCCTCCCATGTGTGCTCACTTCACTCAGCTGGTGCAGGCGGAAGAAGGCTAGAGAGCTAGTGGCTCTGGTCATGATGGATGGATGGATGGATGGATGGAGGGTGCCGCACTGCCCAGGCGAAATGAAGCTGTTTTGACCATTAAATAAATGCTAAATAAACGGGCCAGCAGTGATGCAAAATAAATGTGACTTATACGTGTTTTTTACCTATTCATTGGCCTTTTTTTTTTTTTTTTTTGCTGATGTGACTTATACTCCGGAGCGACTTATATGCCGGAAAATATGGTAGAACTTTTCAAAATTGGAGTTGTTTTACAAAGGCAGCAATCCATTTTGTTCTTGTTCTACTCTGATTATCAGCTACATCATCCATTCAGTCAAAACTGAACCATTTCTCTAAATTTAGACTGTTAACAAAGCACTTGGTACAGCAGGTAAGGTATCACTGTTCATAACCTTTCCATAAAACTCCAATTCAAAAAGTCTGAACTATCTCTTAGAGCACCTCCTGGCATTTTCCAGGAATCACTTAACAGCGATCTTGTTCCTCTGAAGTTCACTTACTCGACTCATTCGGCTTCTGCGTGCTCGTTTCTATAAACTCGTCCTTATCACGGTTACTCGCGATTTTCCAAAAGACGCACTCCGGACCACTCCACCACTCTCATACGTAGTATTGGATGGACTCATGGAAAGTTTGTTGTCTTCATCTTTCTCAGTCTCATTTCTTAAACTTGCACCATTTTTGAGTTCTTCTGGTCCCTCTTGCTCCTCTTTCAGGTTTTCTAACTTTTTCTTCAAGCAGGGTTCTTTTGTTTTTGAATGCTCGTCTGGTGTGTGACCAATATGGTCACCAGCTTTATTGAGATCTTTTAGAATTTTCTCGGATATGTCCTCGGATTCTTCTGGAGTTACTCCTTTATGATCACATACTGGGTCAACCAAAACCTTCTGCATTTTATTTGTCAAGTTTGGGGTTTTGTCATTAACTATTAGATGCTGATTCAAATCCTTAGTTTTTTGGTCTGATGGCATCTCAACATCCCTGACTGGCTCTGATTCATGAATGACCAACTCCTTTTCATCTTCTGGTCTTGATGCTTGTTCGTCATTCTTTGTAATGTCTGAGTCTGAAATACTGATGTCACACGCGATCTTATAGAAGAGGGAATGGTTCTCTTTCATTTTCTTCAGGCTTTCACTCACTGCCGATGAAAATTCAGTGGGATCGGTAAGATCGTCAGGGCATTGCGCCTGGTTATTGGTGTCCACTTGCTCATCATCAGATGTTGGTTCTGAAGCAGGGATCTGTATTGTATTCTGGTTTGCGGAAAGGAACCACTGCATTCTCAGATGAGAAGACTTTAAATTATTGTCAGCATCATCAGCCGCGTAATCTTTAAGCTTCTTCTGCTCATTATGATTAGGATCTGTAAATCCTTTACCTCCATCTTTGTGGTAAACGGTAATAGGCGAGATATGATACGGAGAGGCTGGGCGTTTGATTTTACTGTTGGCAACCCCTGGTTGTTCACTGTGCTGTATTCTGCTCTCAAGCTTGACCTGACTTTTTAATTTACTAACATGTTGATTCTCTTCACATTCCTGAGATGTTGCAACAGAAGGCTGATGTTCTGCAGAACTACTCCTGTTAGCCAGACAGCTTTCATTGCCTGTAGATGGGAAATAAATGCTGGTTACGCAACACTCAGCTATTTGCTTGTTGTGGATAAATTTTGTGACTGTACCTGCTTTCAACCTTGGTTTTTTAACCATGTTGTTGGGCACCTGGCAAACCTCCTTCCTCCTTGCCCTGAGTGGATGTTGATTGTCTGTAGTCTCTCTGACTGCGCTGAGAGATACACAAACACAGATTTTGCGATCACTAACCTCTGATTAGAGAACATGAACAGTTTTGCAAGTTAGCACACACACAACACAAAAATCCCACCTGCGCATGACTCTTGCTCGTATTCGTTCAACTCGTCGGAGCTTGGCGTCTCGCTGCTCAGGGCTCAGACTGAGGTCAGGGTTCATGTCAGGGGTTAGTGGGACAGAAGGCTGTTCCTCTGCCTGTTAAAAAAATTGCACTTTCTGAACATATAATGACTTGGCATGCAAGAGAACTTTTTATAATAATTATTCATAATATTACAATAAATCTGATGTTAAAAGTAGTTCTGGGCCATATTAGTAGCTAAAATGCAAAATAAACTAGTGCCATTTAAGGATGCTTAGAATAAATACAGCATCATTTTTTAATAAAGTTAATTTAAAAAAAAAAAAGATAAATTCAGAATCGGAGCTGTTGGTTTGTTTAATATAACTATACTGTTTAGTTGCAAACAGCCACTCTGCTGACAACATATGTGATTTTCTGTAATTTGAAGTAATATTTAAACCAATTTTATTGTTGTACTTTTACATCATTTGAAAAACTGATTTTTGTTGTACTTAGTATCTCTTTGGCGTAAGTGAAAAAAATGTTCTGATATAGCATCATTTTTTGAAATTACTCATTAAAATCTTTAATTATATGTGCATTATTTTTTTCTTACCCTGACACCCAAGTTTTCACTTCTTCCTGAAACCGTTGGGTCCTGATCTTGAGTGCTTGAAGTCTCTGTTCCCTCAGCTCTGCTTCCCTCTGACTGTGACTCCCTCCTGGAGACCCTGGATTTTCCTTGATGCTGTTCCCTGCTTATTTTTTTACCAGACTGGTCCTGCTCTGCAAAGGACTGGCTGGAGTCTTGGCTCTCCACAAACACCCGCCTGGTTGGTCTGTTGAGCAGTTTGCTGCACAGCTCAGGTGATTGTTGCTGTGTCTCAGGTGGGATCTGTTCAGGCAGCGGGGCGTCGAGCTCAGGTGGAGGATCCTCAACAGAAACTTTTCTAGCCACAAGCGAGGACGGTAAGACAGCTGTTACAACTCGTGTCACCCTTAAGGGAAAAGGGGCCTATAAATAAAGCAAATGGATAATCAGTATTTATATATTACAGAGCGAAAACTACAAAAGTGATTCAGTCGGTAATAAACATTAATGATGTGCCAAACCTCCTCTCTTGTTTCTGAACTTTGATTCTGAGGTCCCTGAGCAGATGACAAAGGTTTCTTCTTATGAGCAATCCTCTCCTGATTTCTCTTCATCCTCTCAATTTGCTCTTCTTCACTCATCTTTGTTTTGATTTTCTAGAGAAGAAGCTGTCTATGAGTCATATTTAAACACTGTATTCCAGAAACATTCACTGTATAAGACTAGCTGCCATTAAAAGTAAGATTATTGTAGAATTGAAAATGCATGGCTGTTAAATCCACATATATGTACAGTATGTACATGTATACTGCATGTGGATGAGGTGTGGAAAATCTAGCCTCTGCTCCCCCCTCTTGTCTGGAGCAGGTGTTGCAATATGCCCTAATTGCAAGGAAAACGAGCAAATCAAAGAAATGTAATTTGGCTGTGATTGCAGAGACAAAAATAAAATCCCTCTTTTTTGTGTTTCTATATTTATTGTTCTGGCTCTCACTGCAAACCAGCAAACATGAAATGATGAAGAATAAAACCTTTGTTGGCTGGTTGGTTCTGTCTGGTGGGATCCACTTTGAGCCGGACTGAGATTCTGAAGATGAGGTGGAAGAAATAAAGACAAAAGGTGGCAAAGATACAGAGGAAAAGGATGGGTGTAAAGAAAAACAGTCAGGAAAAGTGAAAAACATATGCGTGAAAGGCAGAAATAAATAACTCTAGATGTGGCATTAACACTGTATTGTTCTGCTTATATTTTCTGTTTGTGTTGAGTGTGAGCCAACCAGCTGTTTCTCTCTGTGCCTTCACATTAAGGAGGTCAGGCTGGTTGTTTCCTCTTCTGTCTACAGGATCATCAGCCTGGCAGTAGATTCCCTGAAACATCAAGACAAAACAAAAGAACGGTCAAACCTGGCTTTGTCTGTCCTCTCACACCCCAGCCGGTCAAAGCAGATAGCCGCTTGTCCTGAGCCTGGTTCTGCTGGAGGTTTCTTCCTGTTAAAATGGAGTTTTTCCTTTCCACTGTTACCATTGTGCTTGCTCAGGATGGGAGACTGCAATGATGCATAGTGTCTGCTGGCTTCCTTAGATAGAGAACTTTACGAATTCTGTAAAGTGCCCTGAGACAACAACTTTGTTGTGATTTGGCGCTATATAAGTAAACTGAATTGATTTTGTCATTGTGAGGACTGGTGTGTTTTGATTGTCACTCCTGTGTTTTTCCAGCTCCTACACACCTGTCTCCTACCCTAATCATTCCAGTTGTCCATTGTCAATCACAGGCGTTCCTATATATTCTGTGTCTTGTGCCCTTTTTATTGTCCGTGGATTGCCCTCCTTGGTGTCATGTCTTGTTCTCCCTCCGCATCACGTCATCAATGCAAGTTTTGTTGCCACGCCAGCTTTTATTTTGTGTTGTTTAAATAAACACATTGCGTTATTCCTGAGTGCTCAGAGTCCTGGCTGCACTTGGGTTCAAACACGTTCAGATCATGACAGTCGTATGTCAAAAATCCTCACCTCATATGGAGTCTCTGGCCAGCCATGGCTCAGATCCTGACTAAAGTGGTTCTCCTGGAGCTCCGTGGGTAAAGGTGGGCGGACTGGGGGCTCTTGTTCCATATCCTGCAGGAATTGTAGCCATAAGGACATCAAGTAGACAAAACTGTGACACCTCTTGCAGACCTTCCTGTTTTGTTGATGCATATTCATACAGCCAGTTAATATCACAAAGATTGATGCTATGCTGCTCCAGTCAAGAAATCAAAACAAAAAGACACAACATCTGAAATTTTGAAGTTCTAGGGATTAGAAGGGCAAAGAAGAGCTGCACCATTGGTAGTCCACTCTGGAGCCTTTCTGTGAGAGAACCAGGGGATCCATGGTGTGGAACCGAGGACTGGAACACTGAGGAGACAGGAAAGGTTGTAGTCTCAGAACCTTTCAGTCATGTGAATTTTTGTTTTTTATGCATAATAAGAGGAATTCATAAACTTAGCTCATTAGTGCTTCAGGGTGGAAGCATGAAATAGTTGTTTGAATGGTCAAAAAAGTACAAACAGCTCTCTTTGTGATATTGCTTCAATGACATCTTAAAGCTTGTTTTAATTTAAAATTTTCATTTATGTCTGTGCAGAGAAGATTTGTTCAATATATTTAAACTCAGACTGTTCTACATTTTGGTCACTTTTCTGGTGCTAAAACACTGATTTCTTTGTCAAACTCGGGGAGTGGTGGCGCAGAGGTTAGAGAGGTGGGCCTGTGATCCGAAGATCGCCGGTTCACGCCCCGGCCCCGACAACATCAAAATTGTGGGTGGGGTAGGTGAAACACTCACACTCGCCCCCACCCTCATTCGCCCCACTCTGGGCCCATGAGCAAGGCCCTTAACCCCCACCATGTGCACCATGTGCTCCCTAAACAGGTCTCTCTTGAAAATGAGTTCTCGTGGCTCAATGAGACTAACCTGGATAAATAAAGGCTAAAAAAAAAAAAAAAAAACTGTGTTGTTGCTTAATTTTATGAGGTTTTCTTTGCCTGCATGTTTTATAGGTCAAATTGAAGTGACTTAAAAAAAATGCAAAATCATTCTCCTGAAATAGTCATGGACTGGAGTGAAAAGGAGGTACAAAAGAAAGTCTAAAGAAAAAATTGAAAGCTGAAAAATAATCAGAACTAGTTTAAAAGGTTGAAAGAAAGTCTGACTTTAAAAACAAAACATAAGTAAACTTCTGCACAGTGCTGCATGTGGAACACCAATCCCCTTGAAGTTTGATCTTTAGCTCCTTATCGTAACTCTCTGAGTGCAAAGCTTCCTGTGATGGATAACCAAAGAATTTCTGTGACACCTCACGGCTTCTATTATGTGGAAATGATCACACGAGAGGCAACACTGCAAGGCACTAAAGATAAAAGTGCCACAACTGCAAATGTTATTTTTTTGGATGTTGTGCTTGTAGGTGCTGCTAATAAATCACTTTGCACCACAAAGTTATCGTCATGAGAAAGCAGATGTTTTTTTTAACAGTGACATTACTTACTGTGATGTCTCTGTAGTCCCAACAGGAAGCAGAAATTATCTCTGTTGAGTTTCAGTCCAGCAAGGATGTCCTCCATCATCCACAGCTCTCTCTGAGCCTGGGACTGCTCCTGATTAGAAGAAGACGCCTGTGACTTAGAAGTTAACATTTTTTTCATTCATTCAACCTTTATTTAAACCGATAAATCACACTGAGCCTCGATGACTCATTTACAAGTGAGACCTGTTTGGACAGACAGTAAAAAGTGGTGAAAAATGACACAGGGTTTCGAGACAAAAAGATTCCGAACATGCTCTTAATCTTTGGCTGAAAGTTTACAGCATGATAATGAAAAAAACAAAACAAACTTGCACATGAGCACATAATGACGCTGACATTACGCCTGGGGGGGGGGGGGGGGGGGGGGGGGCAAGGGCAGTGAGCATGTCCAGAGACAACACACAGAGGCACTGCAGAGTTCAGATAAAATTCATCAGTTCGAATAGTTCCCTCTGGAGAGATCTGTACACTCTCGGGGAGTGCCGAGGGGGCCAAGGATGAATCCAAAGAGTCCTGAAATGATGACAGAATGTTTATTCAGCTGGGTCCCTCTGAATGATCCGTAGACTTCCTCGGTAGGAGAGGTAAAGCATCAGGTTAACAGAACTTCCAGGCGAATTAAGATAAGATGGCCTGTCAAGGCCAGTCAGGGAGCCGAATTCAGATAAACATGATTGTTTTGGGGACAGGCAGAACTTTAATGACATCTACCTTAAGTCTGTGTTGGTCCACTTTGTTCTGAAACATCCAAATCAAATGACCACACCAATGGACCATGCCTGAGAGTAATCCCCGACATCTGATCCATTCAGTCAAAAGCATTTGAGTCTGGGTGCTTGAGGCACGAATCAAGCCATCATAAAGCAGGCAGCCTGATCTGGTCCAAATTTGCTGCCGACAACTTCATTGATTGTTGATAGACCAGTGTAGTGAACTTAATCTGAAGTCACGACTAAGCCTAAGGTCAAAACACTTGACCTTAAGAACCTTGTGGGACAGAAACTGTCATTTCATTGATTTGAATCCAGAGATACAGGTTCACCCATCCTGAGACTCTCTTTCTTGATAATCAAGTGAAAGAACACTCTCTTTTTATTATCATTACTATTTTACAAATGTTGATAATCAAGTGTCTTAGTTCAAACCATTTTAGATGTTGCAGTGAACTAGTCAATTTTATTAACTGTGTAATGATTTTTAATTCTCATGCAAAGTTAGAATTCATGTTGAGGTCTGTTACAGATTTTTATGCATTTTCTGACTTCTGCCTTTGAATGAGCAAGTGTACGTTTCCAGGGTCAGGAGTAAAGCAGACATGCGTTGGAACAACTGTCCTGTTTATATCCTCTCAGACGTCAACAGGGGGTTTTGGCACCTGTTTCTTAAACTCGCCAAAACAAAACTCTCTCTGTCTGTGAGAACATTTCTGATCTGTTCCATAACAATTCTTGCTACATTCTAACCTTTTACGTCACAAAACACACCCCGTCTGGTCGGTTCTGGCCAATGGGAATACTCCCAGATTAACCGGGAAAAGGTCTCTTTAAAATGTCGGTACTTCCTGGTCTACTCAGTTCTGTGAGGTTTCTGTTGGATACACGGTTCTGTGACAGTTCTGTGCGGAGAAGCCCAGTTCTGGGAGCCGGGAAGATCCTGACATGACAACAGAGCTCTTCCGAGTTTCATGGGATTATAACATTTTTCACTGAGGTGAGCTGTGGGAAAACAGAGTCTCGCCATTACTCCGGACGAGTAACAGCATCCTACGGAGACGCTGAAGGGTGCGTTAAACTGAATCTCGCCTGAGACATCTCCAGGTAAAAGAGTCGATTTCACCACCTAAGTGTACTGGAAGGAAAAGCTGAAGAAAGCCCGGAGAGTGTCGTTCTGTTCACACTCCCTCAAACCCCATCTTTTACTCTTCTTTAAACTTCTTTCCCATCTTTAAACTCCTCTCTCTAGTAGAAATTCTTCCAGATATTTAGAAATGTCTGTGTAAAGTGCTCATCCACCGCCGTGTGGGTAAAAGATCATAATTGTACAGTTTTCATAAATGTCTGTGGTGAAGCAACGGAAAAATCATGGCCGTATGATTTTTCCTGATTGATTGCTTATGTTGTTATTTTCATAATTTGCCAAATTAATGTACATGTTTGATGTTAAACTTTGATTCTGTAAATAAATGACCGCATTCATTTTGATGGGTCAAATATAAATGACGTCTCAAGTTTGCATTTCATTAAATTCAATGCACGTTTTATTCAGTTCAGAAAAATGAGGAATCCGTGTTAATTGATGAATATATCTGAGCATCTGTTCATCTACATTCTGGTGGCCCGTCACGTGCTCATAAATGACTGTGTATTCGTGTATTCGTTACATGTTGGCATGAAGAAAAGTAACAGTTTATCAGCTGTGCTGAAACGCGCCGCTTTGAAGTCAAAACATTGCATGTTTACGCAGCGTGCTGGAGCTGCGCGCTTAGAGCTTGGCTCTGCATGTTTACGCTGTATTACCAAACCAGCCGAATCCAAAAAGCAGGAAACCAGTTATCATAAATCCAATTATATATGCATCCTTAAAATCCATGAATGACAGCAGAGATAGACACATCATCAAGTCTTCCAAGTCGATGAAATATCCAGCTGTGTGCGTGACAACATGGCAAATCGACTCGTCTAAAGCCTGTCCTATTCAAAGAAATGTTATCAGTTGTGTTGAGGGACCAACTGATCAAATCCAAATCCATAAATTGTGATTCGGAAGATTTGCAGAAGAGAGGCTCTAAAGCAGTTCACAGACAAGACAGAGAAAAAGATAAGCGGAGAGGGAGAGGAGGAGAAATGCGTCCGCCCTTGACAAGAGCAAGTGTTGAAGTGACTAGTGACTAACACTATGAATCCTTAATGAGACAGCAAACCACTTCCCTTCACAACAACTTCCTTTTCTCTAAGAGCTGAGGACCATGCTGATGGCTTAGTAAACTCAATATAACTGACTTCTTCTTCTTCTTCTTTCAGCTTTTCCCTCTTCAGGGGTCGCCACAGCGAGTCATCCTCTTCCATCTCACTCTGTCCTCTGCATCCTCTGTCCTCACTCCAACTACCTCCATGTCCTCTCTAACTGCATCCATATATCTCCTCTTTGTCTTTTTCCTGACTGCTGCATTTCTAACATCCTTCTACCAGTATACCCACTGCCCCTCCTCCGGACATGTCAAAACCATCTCAGTCTGGCCGCTCTAATTGTACCTCCCAGTTGTTCAACCTGTGCTGTACCTCTGCTGACCTCATTCCTAATCTTATCCATCCTTGTCACTCCTAATTTAGAACCTCAACATCTTCATTTCTGCTACTATAACTGACGAGTTGTTAAAAATACCTGTGGCATTCCAAAGCTGCAGATGTGCTGAAGGTGGGAGCGGATAACAGATAATTCACTTTCCATTCTCTCATACTGACTCCAAACACGCTCCATTTCCTGAATATAAAAATGAGAAAGTTTGTGAATAATTACAAAAGATACATAAAACATAAAGTTTAAAAGCAACACGTTCTCTTTTGGCCTCAGTGTTAACACATCTCATGTTCTTTGAGCTGGTTACACACCACTGATACGTCACACATTCTGGCTCGGATTGTAACCAACTCCTCTTGGAGCAAAACCTTCTGGGTCAGTGCTTCCTCGAAGGCCTGGGGCCCTTGGATCTTCCATTCTTCCATTTGGAGCCTGGACATTTCTAAAGCACAGTGGACACTGTCCTGCAACAGTGACATAAACTAATTAATTAATGTTTTTTGTAATATTCTTAGTCATAATGCTTTTATTCTCTAAATAAGTCCTAATGTTTATTTTCCAGACGACAAAACATAGTACTAGGAAGTAATATTTCAGAGATGTACATATAAAGTATTTAAATGACTGTTTGAATGGGATAGTTCAGGTGTTTTTACAGTTTTAAACTAATCAGGATGTTTTTTTACAAACCTGATTTGCTCTGGCAGTGTATTATCTTAGCTATTATTATTATTATTAATTTGTAGGAGTTACTAACCTTGTCCATTTGTAGCTGAGTCAGTTCTACAGACAGAGACTGTAGCAGCTTGTCACACCCACACAACCTTGTTAGCACAGCCTGAAAACAAAAAATCAAACACATTTCAAGTCTACTTTATTTTTTATGACACTGCCAAACCATAAATACTCACATCTGCGTCACTTTCAAGAGGTCGGAGTGCAGGCAGCTCTCTCAGTTCAGGTTTAGAGGCCTGGAATATGTCAGAGGCATTTTGTTTGACAAAGCTTTTTACAAAACTGCACAATAATAAAAAAAATGTTAGTAGAAAAACAATTAAAACATGATAATTACTGATAGTTATTGTAAGTAATGTTTTATGTTTAGGTTAATGTTTTTTATAAATACATTTTAGTACTGAAGTGTAAAGAAAAACTGAGCCGCAAAGCTTCAACACCCGTCCAAATATCCATCCTAAAGAAAAAGAAAATGTATCACCCGTCAATCTTTTTTGCTTTATCCAACAGCTTTTTGTAATAAAGTGATCATGGAAATCATAATCATAGCTATGTCACTCTAACTATTAAATGAACACAATAAACTTAATTTCATTATGTCAGGATAATGTCAACATATAAGCCACAAAAATGAAACCTCAACTTTAAAAAGTGCAGAGTTTTAGCTTGGGTGGATTATTCAGCTTAGTTAAAGTAAGATAAAAGCCTCACTCTTGTTTTAAATTAGGTTATTTTAATCTATTTGTACAATATTGATATTTTCAGTTGACTAATTTAACAGTTCAACTAACAAATCTTTCAGTTCCAAGGTTAAAAAGGCTTGATGATTATGTGTTGGTAATAGCATTGGATATGGGTTAAAACTGGTTGAAAAATGTCAGAAAAAAACTGTGTTGTGTGTCCCTTTTTTGCTTATAGCACAATACAATCAAACACATGATGTAAAACAAAACGTGGCAAGGATACACAACAGGAAGTTGATTAGCAGTACAAGACATTGTCAACAAATAAAACATGTTTCTGTTACATCAAATTTATTGCACGCTCTCTCCTGTGCAATAGCTGAAATGACTACATTATGACTAGCTAGAGTGAAATTTGACAGCAATCTTATTTATTTCTTGCTTCTGTCATGCACTTCTAATGCACCACAGCTAAATGTGTTTGAACAACTTGATTCAGAAGAATCAGCCAGTGGTTCAGATTTTTTGCATGAAAGACTTTGAACAGACTTGGGTTTACATAACCAACTGGTTATTTGGGTTTATTGTGTGAAAGAGTTTCAGCTACACATAACATTTCAGATTTAGGACATCTATAAATAGGTCATCACCCTTAAACTTACTCTCTGTGAGCCTATAAATGGAGTAAAGATGGGAAGAAATGTTCAGCATGGTCTGTGAGAATCATTATGGCTTAAAGACTCATGGAAACGTGGTTCTGACAAAACAAACTGTCGGAGTGGGCATTCTTTCCATAGAGTAAAAAAATGACCAGACAGTGGAAGTCCTATTTAATCATTGCCGTCGTCAATGATAAGTAGTTTGATCAGTGTGTCAACTTCATTCTGGTCCATGCATTGCTGTATTGTTACCCAAGTCAAAGTGTATATTTAACAGTGGTCAATATACTTAAACTTGAATCATTTCACAATTAGAGCCATTTTATTTCAAACCTAAGCAGCCTATAATGATAGTTTTTGCTAAGAAAACATGGCCTTCATTTTTTTATTTTTTAACAACTGCATTTAGTTAGTTTTGTGTTTGATTGCTCATTTTTCACTTGGGAGAACTGTCATGCCTCAGATTAGTTTCATTGCTTGCTTTAGTAAATATGTTGACAAACTTCAGCATTTATTTATTTATTCCACTGAAAACTGCACCTTAATTGCTCTACTGGAACTGGCCTAATTAAAAGTCACTTTTGATTATGTGAGAAGACGCCAAAGTTCATGCTCAATAATCCAGATTTAAAAAAAAAACCTACAAAGTTCTGTCAGATCATCTGGACGGTTTTGTTTTTGTTTAGATGTTTTGTCCTTCATCCAAATGAGTTCAACAGTCCGAAGAGCCACAACAAACTCAGTCCGTAAGCAGCACAGCCACATAGTGGACCAACCAGTTTGATGGTGATAAGATGGTTTCTGGGGACCACCCTCTCCCCCGTCAACTCCTCTGAGGCAACTGTAGCCAAAGTGGTTTAAAACATCAAAGTTCATGCTCAATAATCCAGGTAAAAAATCCAACAAAGTTCAGTCAAGTCATCTGGATGTTTTCTTTTATTTGTTGAGACGTTTCATCCTTCATCCAGAGGGCGGCCCCCAGAAACCATCTTATCACCAGCAAACTGGTTGGTCCATTATGGGAGTGTGCTGCTTGTGAACTCTGTTTGTGGCTCCTTGGACTGATGAAGTCCTTTGGATGAAGGACAAAAACGTTCAACAAAAATAAAAAAGAAACCATCCAGATGACATGACTGAACTTTGTTGGATTTTTACCAGGATTATTGAGCATGAACTTGGATGTTTTGAACCGCATCGGCTACAGTTGCCTCAGAGGAGTTTCCGGGGGAGAGGGCGGGCCCCAGAAACCATCTTATCACCATCAAACTGGTTGGTTCACTATGTGGATGTGCTGCTTACAGACTGAGATTGTTGTGGCTCCTCGGACCGATGAAGTCCTTTGGATGAAGGCCGAAACGTCTCAACAAAAACCAACTGCCAAGGTTTGTGGATTATAATTCACTGCATTGGGCTTTCATGTTGAATTCAACATTAATACAGTGACAAAAGACAATATTTAAAATATTGCAATGTAAGTTATGGGTCATAATACTCAACTGTATTGCAGACAGCACAGGTAAACATTTTCCAAGAACTACACAACACATTCAAAACACCACAGACAGAGATGACGTGGACAAAACACCATCAGAGCTGCACAGTCTGGTGGACAGGACTGTACCATAGCTGGCGGAAGCACACAAACAGATAAATGGCTGCGATGGTGTTGTGGGGGGTGCAGAGCATGTGTGGCTCTTGATGAGGGGGGTAAAGGTGGCAGGAAGTCTGCCCTCGTCGAGTGGCTCTGAAGGAAGAGACAGCACGTATATGAACAGAGATCTCATGAGATGAATATACATTATATCCATTTCATGTTTTTAGCATTTTCTATCATGATCTGAATGGGAGATTATCCAATTTGGAGTAACAACTACATACTTTCATTGCACTCTGTAACTTAGCAATTGTTTGGATATTTTGCTGCAAATCAACATATTGTGTGCGTGTTTTTAAGAGTCACCTTCCCCAAAGGTCTTCGTCCACTTGAAGGTTGATGGACAGAGCCATAAATAGGTGCAGGCTGTTGAAAAGAAAAAAAGATAACCACTTTGCATCAATTTTTAATCATGCATTTAAAACATGACTGATTCCAAATTTCTTAATAGGCATCAATAATTCCTTTGCAACATGTTCTTTTGTTCCGTTGCAAAAATATGGGATTTTAAGTGAACACTTCTAAGATTGAGACTATTGGCGACATGCAGTGGCTTTATTCCCAGGTTTCTTTTCAGAATGATAATATACTTTTCATCCTTTTAATTTGATCAACTTTGTCTTTGGAGGTCACTTTTATTCCGGTGCCACATGTTCATTTTTTAACTTTGCTACAGACATCAATCAATCGAGGCCTTACAGAAATGGTGTTATCACACTTTTTACTTTACAAGCAATGATTTTAGTTTCCACAGATGCTGGAACTGGAAAAATGAACCTTAACACCTTGAATAGAAAAACAAATGAAATCAATTGTACATTGCAATCATTGATTTCGAATAAAGGAAATCTAAAGTTACACACAATTAAAAGACACTGTTAATAGTCTGAGACAAATTCATTTAATGCCACCTACATGAACCATGTGGCAAAGGAAAGCCCCTAAACAAACATACTCATCACAGACTCATTAGAATAGATCAGGTTTGGTATTTTTGGGTGATCTTAAACCATCACTTCATGATGGAGAAGTCCTCACCTTGCTTAAACTTTGCCACCTTTCTGTGACCGGAGTAGTAGGAGCAGATTTGAACTCCACCCTGGGTGAAGCAGGTGCATAATACAGAGTCTGTGGCAGCACGCCTGGGTCATCATGGGGTCGAATGTCAACCCTTCCAGCTGGTGAATGAGGCCGAGAACCCAGCTGTCCTCTTGAGCTGAAAGAACTCATCCCCATCATTTCTGCCTCTGTTGTTGCATTTTCACCACCCAGAGTGTCGTCCTCCTTGATCGGACCAGCTGCTCTTCTTCTGCTTGAATCAGGAGGGCTTGGAGATCTGTTTGAGGGGCTTTGTAAAGTGAGGAGGAAAAACAACGGGACTGATTACGTAATGTTTTTATGCCTCGAAGGTGACCAGTGGGATGTGAAATTTGCGCACACTGGGATGACATAACAACCTTCTGTTTCTGTGATGCACACTCCGCCTCCCCCTCTGCTCTGAGTGGGACCTCCCCATCCTCCCACCGGCAAGCTGACTTGGCTCACTCAGGGTTCTGCTGACATGCTTTCTTCTTTGGGAGGGACTCTCTTCCTCTGAGGGGGATTTGGGACCATCCACTGATTCACTGCTGCCACCTATCTGTGTGAAATCCTGATAACTTGAGCAGCGCCTGAATGGATAAGATAAAAAAAAAAGTTTGACATTGAGCACATAAAACTTCCAGGCCATCATGAACCGACTTACCTGTTCATGGTGGAGTCTGGCTCCATTGTAGCTGACTGACTCAGGGCTCGAACCCAACCCAACATGTCCTCCTGAGTATCAGCGCTGAAATAATATGATCTCATGCCCTGGTGCACCACCTAGTTTTACGACATTATTCACAATATATATTGATATGTAGCTATGAATTTTTTTTTATATATATTTAAATATCACACAAAAACATTGTTTTTGTGCATCTGTTTGTGTCTATTGTTAAACAGTCTCATGCATTGCTGAACAACTCTTATGTACATCTACAAACTGATTACCTTTGAAAGTCATCCCAATTCAAGATGGCTATCACAGCCAGCTGACCCTAAAAATAACTCAGTCCTTATAGCTAATATTGATCAGAAATTTAGAGTGGTAGTAGATGAGAACAACCTCCAACACACAGCGCTAGCAGACTGGATATTTAACTCTAAGCAGTAAATTATATCTGTCTGTTAGCAACATAACTCATAACCTATTGAATGGACTTTGATGAATCTTTCGGGAAATAATCACTGGATGTACGTCTACAACAGGTTAACTTTTGGAGACAACTGTCACAGCAAGTCACCTTGGAAACACAAAAGAATGGCTATAATTCAGACAATTTTACAAGCAATAAGAAAAAAGCTGATGTAGTAGCTTTGAATCATTCAAAACCAGCTCTCTGGGCGAGATGCAGATGAGATAGTCTAAAACTCTGGCATGAAATGCAGTGGGTGATGGTATTTTTTTTATAGGTAGTACAAGAACTATAATTGTGTTGGTACATTTGGATACAGATGCAAATGACAAAATAATAAAAAATGATGAACACAGAAGCATTTTGCTACTAAAACTCCTGCCTGCTACAAAAGAAGTGATGGAAAATGTGATGCAAAATTAAAGTCCCATTTTCATTCTGAATAAAGTAAGCATTTTATTTTTTTTTTACTTTATAGGTTTGGACAGTATAAAAAGTGTTCTTAAAGACTCCTGTAATTATTGATTAACAAAGTGATGATACCTTGAAGGTGAATTTTCTGTTCTTGCATTCTCGAGGCGTACAGAACAGGATTTTGTAGCTTGGGAGTGGGATGCTTCCCAGCACAGATTCTTCTCTACTGTCTGGTTAAAACAAAAACAGAAGTGAAAAATAAAAATTAAGAAAAATTTAACATAATATTCAAATCACTGGATATCTATATTTAAAAAAAGGTCCTACCTTTATAATAAAACAGGCAGTAATTAGAGAGGACGAACCATCTTCTCTTCCAGAGTTTCAAACCAGAACTATCCTGCAGAGGAGAGGGGAGGTTCCAAATCAAACACATTCACCGTCGGCCTTAATATACAAAAACTGCTGCAAATGTGCAATAAATGAATGAATAAATAAACAAATACATAGATAAATAACCTTTTTGTTGAGCCATCCTCTGATGACCACTGGGCAGTTGGGGTCTCTTTTGGCAGCTTGACATCTTTTCCCAAATGTCTGCACCTTCCCGTCACTTCCCTGCTTCCAGATAAGATGATTATTTTTATGCCTACATTTATTCCACATGTATAACATTGACCCCCCCCCCCCCCCCACACACACACACACACACACACAACTATCTAAATGTGTAAACCAAACCTCCATGACAGGAAAGTAAGAGATTGTGGCTACGCTGGATGCTTGGCTCACTCTGTCCTGCTCATCCATTCTGAGGGAAAACACAAATCCATTAATAAGAATAAAATATATTTAAAGGTAACGATTGCTTTAAAAAAAAAAGACATTCATAATCACTAGTCAAGTCAATTTTATTTATAAAGCACATTTCAAACAGAAGCTGTTACCAAAGTGCTTAACAATTACATTAATGAGAGTAAAATTAATGGAAAAAAATAACACACGCAATACTGAAAAATCAAACAAAGTTTAATTGCAACAAATTTAAAGAAATCTCTACAAGTATTCAGGCATTAATGTTATTATATTTAAAATCAAAATCTGTCACAAGTTGTTCAATCTCTTAAAAACTAGAAATTTCAAAATGCATAAACCCTAACAGACACAGCAGCTTTCATTAGTGCTGCACACACTGACTTAGCTTGTAGAGGCTAATTATCAAGCCTTACCAACACAAACAAAAGCAGAGATCCTCTCCATGAGCAGCACCCTGAAGTCTCCAAACACACACGAGCCACATTCTTTAACAGCTGCGTATCTTTTTTCACCTCCCTGGTCAACTGTCCATTCTTTAGGACTCTTGATGTTGTGGACTCCCACTTTCAGTAAAACTCTCCCACAATTCTATTCTGGGCCATCACAAGCCAGTGCGCATCCCCGCCATGAAACTGACAGGTGACAGCTGTGTCACCGTGGAAACAGGGAGGGGCTGGGGCTGTGTGAAAACCAATCTGGCAGCAGGGGATGGTCTGGTATGAGAGCCAAACTGTGGAGCGGCATTATGGAGGGCCGGGGACGGAAAGCTAAAAAGGAAGGTGTGCTGCTTCAACTCAAAGTGAATTAAAAAGTACACATATTTACTGCGGAGGGACTCTGAGATTTGTGGTCTTTCTCTGTCATGTCACTGTCGGAGTAAACGAGTACCTGTAGAAAACCCACGGAAACATAAGGAGGACATGCAAACACCATACAAAAATCATGTAAACATGTAAACCATGTAAACATGATTGTTAAATCATGTTTCTTCCAACTGAGGCAGCTGTCTAAACTGAAGCCCATATTGTCCAAAAATAACCTGGAGACAGTAATACATGCATTCATTACATCTAGGCTTGATTACTGCAATTCACTCCTGTTTGGTATCAGTCAGACCTCCATTGCACGACTACAACTGGTCCAGAATGCAGCAGCACAATTTTTAACCAGTACAGGCAAAAGAGAGCACATTACACCAGTTTTGGCCTCACTGCACTGGTTACCGGTTCACTTTCGAATCCAGTTCAAAATACTCATGTATGTCTACAAATCGCTGAACAGTTTCTCCCCCCCCCCCCCCCCAGCTCTCTGATCTGCTACAACCGTATGTCCCACCACGTTCCCTGAGGTCAGTTGCTCCTCATAGTTCCAGGAATTCGTCTTAAGCGCAGAGGTGACAGGGCCTTCTCTGTAGCAGGACCAAGACTTTGGAACGAGTTACCTCTGCTTGTCAGACAGGCCCCCTCCCTCTCGGTTTTCAAGTCCTGTTTAAAAACTCACTACTATTCCGTGGCTTTCAACACCAGATGATCTGTGTTTTGATCCTGTATACTCCACACTGGTTTGTCATCATTATCTGCATTGTTTTTATGTCTATATTCTGATTTACTTCATTTTGTATTTTGCTTTGTGTGTTACCTGTTGTTCTGTCTGTACAGCACTTTGGTTGGCCTTGTAGCTGTTTTAAATGCTTTATAAATAAAATGGTATGGTATGGTATGGTATGGTATGGTATGGTATGGTAAAATGCCCCAGGTCCAAACCAGAGATTGAACCTAGAACTTTCTTGCTGTGAGGCAAAAATGATAACCACTAATTCATAATTATTATTAATTAATAAACCTTTATTTAACTAGTTCTCATTGAGATTAAAAATCTCTTTTTGCCAAGAAGGCTGCCCATTTTTCTGCACTCGTTTTGCCAAGTCAAACCATAATGTTTTCAATTGAGATTGTGGAGATAATTATTTTTTTTTCCTATACAACCATGTTTAAGCTTGTACATTTTTTTGTGCTTGTTTTGAAGCTGAATTTCTCCTATTATCATATTATGTTTAAAAAAAAATTAAAGGGTTTCTGCAAAAGTTTTAAATGAATCTTCAAAGTTTTTCTTTGGACTTTGGTTGCTTTTCCACTTATTTTTAAAACGGTCATTGCTCATGACCATATAGTCTATTTTGGTTAGCAATTGAAAGAATTGAACAAAAGATAAAAGAATATGTTTTAGATCTAAAACATATTTAAACAAAATGTGTGTGTGTGTGTGTGTGTGGGGGGGGGGGGGTGCAGGTGGGGAGTTGTAATACAGCAAAGACCTGACCTGCTGCATCATCCCTCAGTCATCGACTTTTTAACCAGTTTTCAGCTCATAGCTCTTTGGGAATCGCATTGTTGGTTCTAAAATTAAATTAATTTATTTATTTACTTGTTTATTTATTCCTCATGTTTAGGAGATTGGCCAGGTTCATCAGAAACTCCACAACCTCTGAAAATAGTCAGAAATTGAACTGAAAATGTGCATAAAGCACAAAATCCAAATAAATGTTTTGAAAGACCTATAGAAATCCCAAAGAACCATCCAACAAGACATATTTGAAATAAAACCACTTTGTCTGGCCTCTTAGAAGCAAATAATAATAATAAAAAGAACATAATTTTCTAAATAACAAGACAAACATTATTACTTAGATTATTTATTTTGAATCATCCTTACTAGATTTGCTGTTAAATGTCTTTTTTTTTTAAAACTACATCTAATTTAAAGCTTATCAGCAAACTGACATTTATTTCAATCATCAGTATGAATTCCACCTGCAGGAGCTGCTTTGACAAATCTTTATTTCACAAAATGAAAAATTACCATCTAAAGTTTGGATTTTCAGTTTCCTTCATGAGACAACAACACAGATGAACTTATTACAATAAAAACATGATGAGAGAAACCTCACACGCAGGTCACCACGAGGTCCGACCAGGTTTGGCATCCACACAGTCTAACAATCCTCAACCAGTGCGGCTCAGAGCAAATCAGAGCCAAACAATCAACTCTTTGTGGGAGATGCAAGCAGAGACTAACAACTTTGTTGCCACTGGGGGTTACGTGGGTGTTGTGAAATATTTGGAAAATCTCCTTCTTAATCAGGGAAAGTCTCACGCCTGGAGAGGAGAAGACTTGACTTGCTAAAGAGAGATGACGCTGAGGACAAATGCTGCATCTGTGCATGACACAGAGTGAGCTTTGTGATGCCCAGGGACCCCAAAGCATCATGTGAAGCTGGACAGAGAGCATGTTGAATATATTTGCTCAGTAGATAAGGCTTCCTCTCTTAACAAAACATTTGCATGTCTTCAACATTCTTGTGCCTTTTAGTGTTAGAAAAAAAAAAAAAACCTCTTCCAAACACTATAGTGACGTTGTGATGTAAGCCACATCTGTGTATGTGAGAAGATACAGAAAAAAAGACAGGAAGCTTAAGCAAAATACTTGATGCATAACTTCAGGTGGAATAACAGAAACTGGGTCTTTTAGTCACACGTTACGGAGGTGAACGCTGTGTGTCTAAGAGAATGGAAATGTTTTACTTTATTAAAGGCATGGAAATGTCCAGTTACATCTATAAATTTGGTATTTGCAGTTTTACAATACAACAAAAAGGTGCCATATTGTCTCACCTGAGCTGTGACCGCCTGCTGCTCGATCTAATCTCCATCACTTGGCGTTCTTCCTCACAGCATCACCTCAGACTTGGATAACCTCTTCTTGGCTTCTACACGCTCCTGTTGCCCCGACAGTCACAACAAACCCGACGAGCCTCTTTGCCCTCGGACGGACGAAGCTTCGTCTCAGTGTTTCTCTTTGTTCTGACTGGAGTTAAGTGGATGCTCTACCTACACTGGTCTGCCTTTCTGTCCTTCAACAGTGAACTCTCTGTGAGCTTCTTCTTTCTTCCTCCCTCCTCTTTTCTTTTTCATTACCCCCCCCCCCCCCCCCCCACTCACCCTGCCTTTGACTCTGATCTTGGTTTGTGTCTCAAGAATTTACAATAAACCAGCTGTTCTCTCTGTTGTATTAAGTCATTAAACATTTGTTCAGCTTTGTTACAATTTAAATTAAAAATCTATAAAAGCTTTTCTATTTTCATTTTGACTAAACATTTATAACATGTTTCTTTTGTGTCGTAAATATAAAGTGCTTTATATTAAAGCAAACATGCACATACAGTCTTTGAAATAATCCATTAAAGTTGCTCAAAATGCAAAATAAAATTAATAATATTATGTAGGTAAATGTATTCTTTATGCTTTTTATTGAAATAAAAATTAAGAGTCATGTTTAAAAAGTTAAATGTTCATGTTATATAGTCATAATATTAATAGTTTTTGTGTTACCTGCAAACCAGTTAAAGCAGTTAGATCAGTAGTTAGCCAAAAAAAAACCAATTGAATTGTAAATATTGAAGTAAGAAACTATGTAAAAGCATTTATGACTTCTTGTTACAGACATGAAACTATTTCAATGTATTAGTGTTTGATATGACTTGATTGGCAACATGTTTCCCCAGATAATCATCTTTTATTTAAGTCTTCTGCTGCAGTGAGTCAGTATCACCTGACTCCACATGTTCTCTTTACAGAGAATAAAATGTCCCCACTGCTCAAGAATCACCTGCGGTGCACAGGAGGTTTACAGCACTCAGAGGAGGAGAGAGCAGATATTTACCACCAGGCTACGCAGGCCATTGTAGACTTCTATGAACCACAAGATATCAAAGGCATTTTAAGTGATGTGATAAGACCAAAAAAATAAAAAATAAATCAGGCAGCCAGGAATGCCGGATTTCAAATTCCCATAACACAAACGTGATGGGTCAGAAAGTTTTTATGAAAGACGTTAAGAGTAAAACTTTCTGTTTGATTTGAGTTTGACTTGTTGCTCAAAAATCCTACAACCCTAAGAGATCTTTACAGCATAAAACTCTTAAATCCTATATTAATCACATTATTGTATATCTTATATCAAGCCTATCCTTTGCTCTAAATGTTTGCTTTTAGCAGGAAGGCTGTGACCTCAGATATTTTGGGTGTTCAGTTCTCCAGGGAACTTATCAATCTGCTGATATTTATGACCCCTTCCTCCATCCCTTCTTTCTTTTTAATATGCAGCACAATACAACCATAGCAAATATAACATTCTTTTTCATTGCTTTGCTAATGATATGATCTTCCTGCTTACTCTCAAAGAAGACAAACACATTTCCCTCCCACTCCTGCTTCCCTCCTGCTTTGCTCTTTGTCCTGTGAATCCTATCGGGGGCCTCTCTTTACGTACCTTCATAACTCTGGATGTTATGTGAACAAGAAGCTCTGCCCCCCTCCCCTCCCCGCTCCCTTCCCGAGGACATCTGTGGACCTGTATCAGAGCTGAGCCGGCTGATAGACACTGCACCATCTCTTATGAGGACTATGGAACTATCTGGCAGTGTCCACGGACAAACTCAATGCCTTTGTTGGCCTTCTTGATGCATATATGTATTATGATGTCATTAGTATGTTGCTGTTTCTGTGCTGTTTTTTTTTTTTTTTTTTTTTTTTTTTTGTAACTTTCACACTGTGTGCCATCTAGGACACAGTGTGAGATATGATTTTTTTAATACCTCCCCTTCCCCCGTTTTTCTCTTTTCCTATCTAAATGAAAAAGGCAGCGCCTCCCATGAGGCAGCAGCCTCAGACACCTCCGTCCCCCCATGTCTGTTTGTTTATGTTTTACTCAGATGGGCTGTACTGAAATATAATTTTGCTGTGCTTCGGTGCAATGACAATAAAGCTGGTTCTGATTCTGATATTTAGTTGTATCTGCCCATTAAGTTAGACAGGGCCACTTCACAGGAACCACGCTTGAACTGTCTGAACGATATTAAAGTCTGGTTGAAACTAAATTTCCTGAATCTAAATGAAAATAAAACTGAAGTCATCAGCTTTGGTAAATGTACTGCTCTTGATACGCTTGGCCCCGCTCCTCTGTCAGGAATCTGGGGGTTGTTTTCGATAGTGCTTTAAAATTAGACAAACAGATAAATGCAGATGTGAAATCCAGTTTCTTCCAACCAAAGCTCATTGCCAAGATAAACTCCCTTTCAGAGACCTTGAAAAGGTGATTCACGCTTTTATTACCTCTCGTTTGGACTATTGTAATATTTTGTATGTTGGTTTAAATAAATCACTTTTACATCATCGTTGCTCGTCTTTCAACGGCAACTAGAAAACATGAACACGTATCCCCCGTCCTGTCTTCTCTCCTGGCTTCCTGTCAACATCTGGATTGACTATTTGAAATTTTATTGCATGTTTTTAAAGTTTTAAAGATCTAAAGGTCATATTTATGTGATCTTCTCAACATCTACACTCCAGTTAGAGATGATTTTTCTTGTTGTTGTGTGTTGTATTTTATTATTAACTTTATGGTGTTTCCTTAGAGACACAATATGTATTTTCTTGTTCTTGTTGTTTGAATATAATTTAATCCAATTTGAAAGCACTTTGGTTAAGTTTTGTTGTTTTTATGTGCTATATAAATAAATGACATTGACATAACCAGCCATGGTGAGTGACAACTGCTAGGTGACTTTTTATCATCTGTTACAAACTGTGGATAGACACAAAAAGAAGGTTCAGGAGTTTCATGGGAAATATAATTTCAGGCCATGTTCAGATATTACTTAGTACTTTGTGTTACATTGCATCATATTTCATATTACATCTAATTCTATGATATTGGCAGCACGGTGGCACAGTTGGTAGAGCTGCTGCCTCTCAGCGAGCAGGTTACCCTGATTCAAATCCCGGCTCAGGACCTTTCTGGGTGGAGTTTGCATGTTCTCTCCGTGCATGCGTGGGTTTTCTCCAGGTACTCCAATTTCCTCCCACAGACAAAAAACATGCATGTTAGGCTGATTGGTAACTCTAAATTGTCCATAGGTGTGAGTGAGAGAGTGAATGGTTGTCTCGTTTGTCTCTATGTGTCCCTGTGATGACTGGAGACCTGTCCAGGGTGTTCCCTGCCTCTTGTACAGGGATGACTGGACATGGGCACCAGTGACCCCCGTGACCTGAAAAGGAAAAAGCGGGTGAGGATAATAGATGGATGGATGTATTTGTGAGTGGCAAAAGTATCTGAACCTTTTCTTTCAGTATCTGGTGTGACCCTCCGTGCAGCAATAACTGCAACTAAATGTTTCTGGTAGCTGTTGATCAGTCCTGCACACCGGCTTGGAGGAATTTTAGCCCATTCCTCTGCACAGAACATCTTCAACTCTGGATGTTGGTGGTTTCCTCACATTAACTGCTGCTTCAGATCCTTCCACAACATCTGGATTGGATTGTCAGGGCTTTGACTCTGCCATTCCTAAACATGAACTTTTTCGTCTTGATCCATTCTTTGGTAGAACGACTTGTGTGCTTAGGGTCATTGTCTTGCTGCGTGACCCACCTTCTCTTGAGGTTCAGTTCATGGACAGATTTCCTGACATTTTCCTTTAGAATTATTTGATATAACACAGCATTTATTATTACATCAATGATGGCAAGCCGTCCTGGCCCAGATGCAGCAAAACAGGCTCTAACCATGATATTGTGATGTGCTTGGGTAAGACACATCAGAGGAGGCAAAGAGACAGGTGTGTTGTGTGTGCAATCAGTAGAGGAGCAGTACACTGAGTAAAGCTGTCGCAAACAAACTGAGAGGAGAGCTTCCAGTGATGGCAGCACCCTTTGGAGGGAGGGTGCTATTCACAGTCATTTAGGGCTGCTGGTGGTGAAAATAATTAGAAAGGTTGTTAGGTGTTCCTGTGTGAGGAAGGGGTGCCTCCTTTAGACAGTCAGGGCTGGGCTTTAGCTGGGTGCAGTCACCACCTTGCTCTGCTGTTCCTGCTGGCTGCTCTGGTCTGTTGTTGAGACAATCCATGAGGTTCGATCGTCGTCCAGCTAAGTCACTCCCCGGGGTGTTGTACAGCATCACATTCTCAGACCCTGGGGAGGGGTCTCGCCAGCTGGGCAAGCTAAGTGAACTCATGTTATCTTTAATGTAGGCCTCTATTTGTTAACTTGTGTTGAGGATCAGGCAGAAGGGCTTGGTTTTACAGAAATTGAAAGTTTTATGAATCCCTTAACCTGCATGTTAGATGTTGCTGGATCTGGAGGATGCTTTAGCCCCTTGTTTTGGGAGTATTAAATGAATAAATAAAAGCCTTTCTTTTCTTAACCTCCTGGCATGTGTGGTGAATATTTGACAGTTCTGACACTCAAGGCAAGATCTTCTACATGTGTGACCCACAAATTTATTACATTACTATCACCATCATGTTTCACACATGGGATAAGGTTCTTATGCAATGTTTTCCTTTCTCCAAACATAACACTTTTCATTTCAACCAAAAAGTTTAGAACTAAACTAAAAGCTGAGTAACACTGAAACAAAATGAACAAACGAGAAGTCTATCACAGCAAAAAGTATGATAAATAAGCACAATAACTAAAATGAAATGAAAAAACCACAAAACCACAGACTCTTGCCACAATTGTTGAATACTATTGGAAACAAGTTCATTCATAAATGCTAAAAAAAAAACATTTTTAAAAAGAGCCTTTCTTTCCCGGCATGCTTTATCCATTTTTTCCACATATTTTTTTTTCATTCATTCAACCTTTATTTAGACAGAAAAATCACATTGAGCCTCGAAGGTTCATTTACAACTCATTTACTTGAAAATTATTATGATTGAAATAAATGTTTGAAAAAAAGGGGCAGATATAATAAGATTTTTTCTTCTTTCTGCTGCCTTTCATTTGAAATCTTTTGTATCTTTTTTTATATTGTTATGGAATTGTTTTGTACTTTTTAAAAATGAATAAATTTTATACCATACCAAGTGAGAGCTTGTAGCACTGAAGCACTGCACTGACAGTAATGATCCACCAGGTGGGGCTGCTTTAACACAAACAGGAAAACATTTATGCATCCTTTATCTCCCACTTCTTCCTTCCTTTTTGGGTCACGAGGGTCACTGGTGCTCATATCCAGCGGTCACTGAGGCGGGGGACACCCTGGACAGGTCTCCAGTCCATCACAGGGACACATAGAGGCAAACGAGACAAACAACCATTCACTCTCTCACACATCTAGGAACAATTTAGAGTTACCAATCAGTCTAACATGCATGTTTCAGGTCTGTGAGAGGAAACCGGTGTACCCGGAGAAAACCCACACATGCACAGAGAGAACATGCAAACTCCACCAAGAAAGGGCCCCAGTCAGGATTTGATCTGGTGACCTTGTCGCTGAGAGGCAACCGCTCAACTGCGCCACCGTGCCAGCACAGGAAACCATCTTGTAAGTTATTTGGACGAGCTGGGAAGTTGGACTCAAAGCTAAAATACTGGCACAAAAATTTGTTGTTTGTTTCATTTTTATTTATCAGAATAAGATGACACTATTTAATTATTTTGGCTTATGTATGTAATATAAATTTAACACGTACATGTTGCACACAAACGGAGAAGGAGGGACAATTAACCAGCTCTAGGCTTGTTAGCTTGTTGACAGTTCTGAATGGGGCCCAGTTTCTACATGACAGCAAATCTTCTGGGTCCAATAGTGTCAGAATGTGTGAGAGCTCCGTATCATTAGGACAACACTGGAACAGATGGTGATAATACCATGGCTGCACTTTGAAGGTATACATTAAACTCATCTTCTGACAGCAGCTTGTCAAACTGTAGCACACGTTTGTACAAAACTCATAAATTCACATTGAGGAGCAGCCGATGACATCATGGACAACTGGAAGAAAGTTTCTTATCGTATCATAACGGCTAAAAAGTATAAATATATAATGTTATTTAAAGCATATTTTTTCAGCACAGTCAAAAACTCAATCATATTAAAGAATTTAACATTGAAGGCGTCTGCTCTTTTTTGAAGTTTGATCTCACTAAGAATCAGACTGTGCAGATTACATGTTGTGCACCAGGCAGAATGAAATGTGGGACACTCTCCCCCTCCAACCCATATGTCAAGCTAAATGTGTCACTTGTACCTCTTTAAGTTTCAAGCTTTAAATTACCACTTATTCACATGCCTGGCATAAGCTCTCACACACTGAGCACACACGGAGGGAAGTTCAGGGTATGATTATTCTTGGATCATGGTCTTCGGTTCTGTTTTATTTGGTTCGTGATCGATGTTTGTAACAAGTCACACAGGTGTAACTGATGAGTGCACGGGCTGTAAATTCTCACTTTTATTCATCACAGGAACTGATGCACAAATCATACTCATAGTTTTATTACCACAAACATTCTTCAGAGGTTACTTACATAAATGATTATGTAAGATTATTATATATTTTATTATATATTTACTGACCTTGAAGATAATTTGTTTTTATATGTTTAAAATGAGCAATGATCAAATGTTTGGGAAAGTTCGTCCTTCATTATTTACTTTTTGCTCTAACACCTGCTATTTATTAATGTTCAAGTAAAGCATAAAAAGATCACTGCTGTGACTTCTAGATATTGTTTCACCTTTTATATTAGATTTGTTTTAATTGATATTTTTGTTACTGCCAATATATATATATTAAATAAAAATTGATGTTCTCTATTTTATAGTAGGAAAATAATTTAGATAAACAATTATTACTCTTATAAGCATAAGCTGATATACTGAATATGAGTAATTTTTATACAGTTTCTAAAATATTTCAGTGCAGTGGATATAACTGAAAAAAGAATTAATAGATCTAGAACTATCTTAATTTTCTAAAATCTTCTATCTATCTATCTATCTATCTATCTATCTATCTATCTATCTATCT